GAGAGAAACATCGATCAGCTGCCTCCTGCACATCTCCTACTGGGGATGTGCCCGCAGCCCAGGTACATGCCCTTGACCGGAATCGAACCTGGGACCTTTCAGTCCGCAAGCCGACGCTCTATCCACTGAGCCAAACCGGTTTCGGCTGTTTTGTCTTTTAGTTGTAGTTTTAATGTGGTTGTGGGAGGCAGCATGTACAAGTTTATATCTTATGCTGCCATCTTGGTTCTCCCTTTTTCAGTTTTATTTGTTTGGTTTTATCTGTATTATTTCTGAAGCCTTTTAGACCTACAGTATATTACTTAAACATACCTATTACTCATAATGCCACTTCTTTAAGATTCAAAATTTTCCCAGTGGCTTTTCTAATATACTTATTTCATCTGTTGTGTTTGAATCTTTGAACCCTATGGAACTTAATTTGCGTATATGAATTGTCTGGCCAGAAATTACTGACTTAGTTTCCCCCAGAAGGTAATTCAGTATTCACTACATATTACCTGGTTATACAGTTTGTGCTAGAAGTAGGTTTGACAAGGAAGGGCACAAATGGGCCTAGAAGAAAGTTTGGGATCCTGAATACAGTCTGGTAGACTACAAGATTAATTTAGCTATTATCTAAGGAACTCCTATAAATTAAAAGACCAAACCATGATACCTAAATGGCTAAAGAATATGGACAGTTTCAAAAAATGAAAATGCATTTTTTTTTGTATTATACTTAGCCACATATTTGTAGAAAAGAATTTAAAAATATATATATATATTTTGCCCTGACTGGTTTGGCTCAGTGGATAGAGCGTCAGCCTGCAGACTGAAGGGTCCCAGGTTCGATTCCGGTCTAGGGCATGTCCCTTGGTTGCGGGCACATCCCCAGGGGGGAGTGTGCAGGAGTATGGTTAGCAAAGAATTCTTAATTATTTCTGTGTTGTCTAGCCTAGTTTAAAATTACTCAGGGACTCTCCACTAATTTGTTTGTATATATTTTATAGCATTTTACATGTGCAGAACTTTATATGCTGAGTTTTTTATTCCTCCACTTTTACCTTTTAGAATAGGTCTTCGATTTTCATTGGAAAATTTTTCTGATTTCCTTCTAGCTTATCTCCATATTCTTATTACTGAGCTTTCATAAATGTCCTCTTTTGTTTAAAAAATATTGTTGTTGATTCCAGAGAGAAGGGAGAGGGAGAGATAGAAACATCAATGATGAAAATCATTAATCAGTTGCCTCCTGCATGCCCCCTACTGGGAATTGAGCCCACAACCAGGCATGTGCTCTTGACCAGAATTGAACCCAGGACCCTTCAGTCCACAGGCCAATGCCCTATCCACTGAGCCAAACCGGCTAAATTTTGAAGGTCATTTAGATAATTTTCAAAAAACTAATTGCTTCCTAATCACATGGTATGAAACGTTTAAAAATACAAAAAGGTACACAGTGAAAAATTCTCTTCCTTCTTCCTTGCACATTTGTCATATCCATGAAAGATTCTGCCATGCAGGAATTTTAAATATTTCAAAAATTTCATTTATGGTTCCTGGGTTTTTGTCATGTTTCTGACTATGATTATTTAAAAGTCAAAACATTAAAACTCCTCCATGATTTCCTGTACTTTTTAAAATATTTAAATCTCTGATCCTTTGTAACTCTCCTGATATAAGGTGTGACTATGGATTTAACACCATGTGTTCAATTACCCATTTGCCCACCACTGATTTTATTTTTTTCATCACCATTTATCCCCTCTATGCCCTCTTCCACATCCACACACCCTCCTCATCCCCCACAATCACCACTGTTGTCCATGTCCATGAGTTCTTTTTTCTTTTAGCTCAATCCCTCCATCCCCCCAGAGCTGTCTGACTGTCCTCTATCTATGAGTCTGCCTCTATTTTGCTTGTCTCCATCACTGACTTTAAAGGCCATCTTTTTCATAAATTAAATCCCTGCATATATTAACATTTGGAGGTAGGCAGGTGAGCTGAACAGAAAGCAAACCCCTGGAGAGGGAAGAAAAACAACTGGAGTCAGAGAACCTTTTCTTTTTGCTTAACTGACCTAATGAGTGACTACATGACAACTGTCATCATATTCACCTAATAGGGCCACTGAAGGACACTGAACCACCAATAATATAGAAAACCAACATTTTTATTATGAAAACTATGTATTTGGGCACAAAAATGCAATACATAGCAGTAGTGACATTAGTAGTGACATTATCTCAGCTAAGAACACAGACATTAAGTTATCAAGGAACACCAAGAGGAAACAAAGTCTTTTTAAATATATATTTTTCCCATCATCATTTATTCCCCTCTATATATTTTATTAC